AAGAAGGCCCTGGAGGAACAGTAGACCTTGGTATCCCTGCTGAGCACAAGCCAGCAATGAGGACCTGGCCCCCCCAGGCTCCACCGCGTCCTCAGCCACAGACAGATGAGTGCCCCAGGCTCAGCCGCTGGGAATGTGTGCCTGTCACAAGTAACTGCTTCCCAACAAGCAATTCCTCTGGGTGTCAGTAAAGTCACTGATGCCCCAGCCCTCCCCTCAGAGAATCTGATTAACCAACCCAGCTGGATGGGGAGCTAGAGAACAAAAGCCACCGAGTAAACAGAAGCAGAACAGCTGAGCAGGGGCTCTTCCGACTTCTCTGGCTCCTTCCTTGGGTGACAGGGCCTCTGTGGGCTAGTGGCTTTGGAAGGTGTTTGCTCAAGGGGCCTCGTCTCCCTCGCCACAGGTACGGGGTGCAGACTCGTATGCTGGAGGCTCATCTTCGTAGCCCACATGGGTGCTTGGGGAAGGTCTTTGAGCTGCCTGGTCCAAGAGTAGAGTCCAAGGTTTTGACAAGGTCACTCCACGCTCGTGCCTGCTGTGTGCTCTGGAACAGACAGGCCCTGGTGTGGGTTCCAGCTCTGCTGTGTCCTTTACTCCATGACCTTGGGCAATTTACTAAACCTCTCAAGCCTCAATGTTTGAGAGATTTTATATTAATCCTACCTGCTTTTATATTTGATTTCTCTTTTGATCAAAACAATACATGTATGGTACATAGTTTTTTGGGGTTTTTTTTGTTTGTTTGTTTGTTTGTTTTTGAGACGGAGTTTCGCTCGTTACCCAGGCTGAAGTGCAATGGCGCGATCTCGGCTCACCACAACCTCCGCCTCCTGGGTTCAGGCAATTCTCCTGCCTCAGCCTCCTGAGTAGCTGGGATTACAGGCATGCGCCACCATGCCCAGCTAATTTTTTGTATTTTTAGTAGAGACGGGGTTTCACCATGTTGACCAGGATGGTCTCGATCTCTTGACCTTGTGATCCACCCACCTCGGCCTCCCAAAGTGCTGGGATTACAGGCTTGAGCCACTGCGCCCGGCCTTAGTACATAGTTTTAAAAGTTGAACAATACCTCAAGCCTGGAAACACTAAGTCCCCACTTCTTGACCCATTGCTTTCTGTTCTTTTAGCTCTTTCATTCTTTTTTTTTTTTTTTTTTTTTTTTTGAGATGAGGTCTCCCTCTGTTGCCTAGGCTGAGCTGGAGTGCAGTGTGGCACAATCACAGCTCACTGCAGCCTGGGGTCAAGCAATCCTCCCACTTCAGCCTCCTGAGTAGCTGGTACTACAGGTCTTCGCTACCATGCCTGCTTAATGTTAAAATAGTTTGTAGAGACAGGGTCACACTGTGTTGCCCAGGGTGGTCTTGAACTGGCCTCAAGCGATCCTCATGCCTTGGCCCAAATTGTTGGGATTACAGGCATGAGCCATCGCACCCAGCCTCTTTGACCTTTAGAACGTTGACTTCCTACTATGAAAAATGAGCTGATAGCCACCTCTCCACACATTTCCTCCCTATCCTTCCAATGTTATGATTTGGGGTAAGTTGATATTCAGCGTTCATGTGTTTAACACTATGTAAACATTGTTTTCTGCTAAACCAAGTAGTATTCTATTTCCTTTCTGCAATAATTATTTGTTTTTCCTCAAGCTATAATTATCTCTCTTTTTTATTTACTTTTAAATTTGTACTTTATGTTCTTCTCTATAAAATCATAAAAATCTGACCAGATACACCCAGCAGGTATGCTTTCCTTGGAAACATTGCTCTGGGAACCCCTCACAAGTTGTTCTACTCTTACCAACCTATCTCTTGGCCCCTCCCTGCCTTCCCCAGAGTGAAGATACTGAGGCTCAGAGAGTAGTGAGATCTGGGTGGAAATGCAGGCCTGGATAAGGAGGTCCAGTTATACTCAAGGGCCAACCCCCTGCCGAGGATGCTGCAGCCCAGTGAGTCGGCAGCCACACAAATGGGACCATTTGGTGGGTTTAACGTCTGCACTGTGGGGCAGGGACCTCTGGCTCTGAGTGTAGAAGGCAGAGGCAGGTCTCCCTGTCCATCCTGAGTGACCATTCCTGGTAAGATGTCCCATGCTGATTTCCATCCTCCACCCAGGCAGATCAGAGAAAGACCCAGCACCACTATTCTCTGACCACCCCATATGTACTTCCCCTTAAACTTGCTAAGCCAGCCCTACCCAACTCCCAGGCTGAGATCACCTCCCAGGGCCACCAGCACCCCACTCATCATGGATGGGCCACTTTGACTCCAACCCTAGGTCTCATCTCCTCCATCTCGGGGCTGAGCTCTGAGCCTGCTCCCAGCGAGCTCTGCACTGCAAGTGACTTTTTTTTTTTTTTTTTTTTGAGACAGAGTTTCGCTCTTGTTACCCAGGCTGGAGTGCAATGGCGCAATCTCGGCTCACCGCAACCTCCGCCACCTGGGTTCAGGCAATTCTCCTGCCTCAGCCTCCTGAAGTGACTCTTCACCACTGGTCCGAGGAGGCTATGGTCAGGCTTGGGGAATGCCTGAAGGTTAAGATGATGCTGGGGGTCCCTGGCCAACAACTCCCAGTCTTGGTGGCCCAAGTCCTTAAGGGCAGCACACATTCCTGAAGGGGACAGAGAGAGCCTCCTGAGTCAAGAGCTCTTGCCCAGACACCATAGGCCTCACAACAGAGAGGCGTATGCATTGTCTGAGGCTCCTGGTGACTGCAGTCCAGCCCACAGGGCCCACTCACCACAGAGGATGCCCATGAGAATGTGATCCATGTGTTCCTGCACACCAGAGGCCACAGCTCAATGGGGCTGTGCCGCTGGGCCAGGACTACCCCAGGTGCATAGGGAGAGGGTGAAGGGTGCATATCCTGTCCTTCAGCCATCAAGACACAAGGGGTGGGTGGGTGTCAGAGGCCCCTGGGAGATGAAAGATGCATAGAGCTCTCCAAATGGCCACATGTTTTCGAAGCAGACAACTCACCAGGATTTCATCTGCAACTCAGATTCAATCCGCTAAGTAGAGAAGAAGAAAGTATGTGGTTGTCATGGCAACACCAAATTGCCCAGGACCAGGTTGGTCTCTAAGTGGGGGAAGGATAGGGAATGGATCCCAGCCTCTGTCTTTGTGGTAGGGATGTTCTGGAGAGCGGGGCAAGGGGTCAGGCCAGACACACACGTGTGGGGCAAGGGGTCAGGCCAGACACACGTGTGGGGAAAGGGGTCAGGCCAGGCAGACGTGTGGGGCAAGGGGTCAGGCTGGACACACATGTTGGGCAAGAGACGTTGCTCCCACTACTGCTGCTCAGGGCTGAGGGCCTGAGCCATGCAGTGTTATATAAAAGGGTGACTTGGGGCCCTCACTCAGGGGCTGGGGCCCAGACCGTTCAAGCGTGCACATTCCAGAGCCAGCCTCTTGCTAAGGGCCAGTTCCCGCTTCTCCCCAAAGGTTAGGCCCACCCCAGAGCAGCTCAGATTTGGTGCCTGCTTCTCTTCCCGCCCCCCAGTCCTAGCTGTTCCTGGCAGAACTTCTGTCTTGAGCTTGGCCATGGATGTGGACACAGCCTGGCACATACCCTGAGTGCAGCCTGAGGGTCAACGGACCCACAGGCTCACCCAGAGAGTGCCAAGCAAAGCTGATACTTCTATTCATAAGCACGCAGTGCTCAGCCTGGCCTCTTCCTCCCCACCAAGAATGAAGCGGAGCCAGCAGTGGGGTTGCTCTGCAATGCAGCCTCTGCCAACCTGGGTCCAGGCCCAGCTAGGTAGATGGTAGGAGAGAGGGCTGCTCAAGTAGGAAGGAGTTGAGCATTGGGACCCTCCCCTGCCCCCCAGACCTGCCTTAGCTCTGTTTCGATTCTGACCATCCAGTGTTCTGGGGCCTCTGGAAAACTTCCTGGCTCCAAGGCCCTCCTGACCAGCCAAGCCTGGCATATCCATCTCTGTGGTCCCAGGATCTGACCACAGGAGGGCTCCTGGACACCTAATACATGAATAAATGACAGAGTGAAAGAATTAATGAATGGGTGACTTGGGCAGTCAGGACTAGGAGCAGAAGAAATGAAAGAGACCAGGTTGGGAGGGGGATGCTTGTAGGGCCAGGTTTGGGGGAGCCTTAAATGCCAGGCTGAGAGGGGGATATTTATCAGGCTCCCCCACACCCAGCTTCTGCCCTGGCCCTGGGACAACTCCCATCTTCCAGAGGGGCCCCTAGGGATCCTGCCAGATGTGGCCCTATCACCTGATCTCCTCTGAGAGAGACAGAAACCCTAGGGCCCATCCCCCAGAGCCTGGCTCACCTGGGCTCTTACAGGGCCTGCCTCGCTGGGGCCCTGAAGACTTAACTGCTTTTGTTTCATGCTCTGTGGGTTTTCCCAGTTGTTCAATTAGTGCTAATTGGAAGCAGGAAGTGTGGGGTGGGCCTGGCCTTGGGCTTCCTGGGGCAGGCTCTACCCTAGAGTTTTGGGGGCTCTCTCGGGTCTGGGTGGGGTTGTTGAGGGCTCCCCGAGCATCCAGTATACTGGCTCTTTGCACAGTGGGGCCTCTGCTTTCCAGAGGGCTCAGGCTGTCACCGGCCACGTCTCACCCCAGGTGCCAGTTGTCCCCAGGGCAGGGCAAGCTCACCCTTTTCACTGCCAAATCCTCACCTGGCACAGAGCTGCCGCTCTTCACAGTTTCCACTCTAAGAACGAAGGGATGATGGGCTCAGGGGTCTGGAGAGAGGTGCACAGGGGCCTCCTGAACCCCTCACTGACCCTTGGTCCCAACCTCAGCCCTCGGCTCCATAAAGGTGAGGAAAGGCCTCATTTATCTGCGTGTGCTTCCCTTGGGAGACAAAGGGTGCAGAGGCCCTCTGGAGAGGCGGGGCTTCCCCTTAGTTTCCCTCCTCCCCGTGTCCCCTGCCCCTCCACTACGGGCGCAGGTGGGAGTGTCCAGAGGCAAAGCCCCTTTTGTGTCAAGCCCCAACCAAGGTCCTCAACTCCTGTCGTGTTCTCCCCATCCACAGACACTGGTGGCAGTCTGAAGGCAGAGGCTGTAATAGGGGAAGCATCGGTGTGGGCACATCGGGGAAGGCCCCTGACTCTAGCCTGGGCAGAGGTCCGTGCCCCACTTGGCTCTCTCTCTGCCGTGTTATGTCAGTCATCGCCCACAGGTGCCCTCAACCTGGGCACTGTCAGGCCTCCTTCGCAGTGGACTGAAACCCTATGACACAGCCTAGGACCACCCAGACCCATGGGCTGGGGGCTCATATCTGGAAGCAGGGCCCCCAGGACTCAAAGGTGCTCAGAGATGAAGATTGCTGGGCGCCAGCTCACGGGATCAGCCTCAGCTTCAGCCCCTGGGAAATGCCTGCTCATTTGCTGTGAGGCAGACACTAGAGCAGGCAGAGTGGACCATGGACTCCTCTGAGGTTCCGGAGCCCTGCAAGGAGAGGCCTGGCCGCCGGCGGCCGCTAGAGGGCAGAACCCTCCTGTGTGTTTCTTACAAAGCGTTGGTGAGCAGATGAGCAGGATGGACAGGAGACAACGGAGCGGCAGCCCAAGAGTGCAGTGACCACAAGGCTGCTAGCAGGGCTCAGCGGAGGCTGCGATGTGTCCAAAAGTCCACTGGACCTTAGACCTTAAATCACCTCCCTGAACCTTTAGGCTTTCACTTTCTGGGAGCCCAGCCCTGAGCCAACAGGGACACAGGGACAGTGCCTGGCTCCTACATTGGCAGAGAATGACAAGTCAGTGTCCCCTTCTTTTTTTAATTTTTTTTTATTTTTTTGAGACGGAGTCTCTCTCTGCCACCCAGGATAGAGTGCTGGAGTGCACTGGCGCAATGTTGGCTCACCACAACCTCCACTTCCTGGATGCAAGCAGTTCTCTGCCTCAGCTTCCTAAGTAGCTGGGATTATAGGCACCCCCCACCACATCCGGCTAAATTTTGTATTTTTAGTAGAGATGGGGTTTCATCATCTTGGCCAGGCTGGTCTTGAACTCCTGACCTCATGATTCACCCACCTCAGCCTCTCAAAGTGCTGGGATTACAGGTGTGAGTCACTGTGTCCCCTTCTTAGAACATTAGTTGTAGAGGAGCCATTAGGAGAGCAGGTCCTCCAGCTTCTTCCAGGTGCAACGAGGAAACAGAGGCAGAGAAGAACTCACCTGACCACACCTATGAGGGAGGTGGGGACGGATATTTCCTGAGACCGAACCATAGCTAGGCACGCACAGCAGCCCTATGAGGTCAGTGCACGTGTTGGGTACTACTTTTGCAGATGAGGAAACTGAGGGTCAGAGAGGCTGTCATTTGGCTGAAGTCCCACAGCAAGGGTGGACCAGGGTTCTTGCCCAGGCAGGATGATGCCGAGCCTGCATGCAGGCTCCCACACAGCCTTATTTAGTTGTTTATTATATCAGAAATATATAGGCCGGGCAAGGTGGCTCACACCTGTGATCCTAGCACTTTGGGAGGCCGAGGTGGGTGGATCACGAGGTCAGGAGTTCAAGACCAAACTGGCCAACATGGTGAAACCCCATCGCTACTAAAAAATACGAAAATTAACTGGACATGGTGGCTCATGCCTGTAATCCCAGCTACTTGGGAGGCTGAGGTAGGAGAACTGCTTGAACCGGGATTCAGTAGGCAGAGGTTGCTGTGAGCAGAGATCACGGCACTGCATACTCCAGGCTAGACTACAGAGCAGGACTCCATCTCAAAAAAGACAAAAATATATAAATATATTTTTACTTTAAAAACATAATACAGAGCTGGGCATGGTGGCTCACACTTGTAATCCCAGCACAGTTCTGGGCTCAGCCAGTCCTCCCACCTTGGCCTCCCAAAGTGCTGGGATTATAGGCATCAGCCACCGTGCCCAGCCTGTTTTGATTTTTTTCAAGAGACAAGGTCTCACTATGTTGCCCACACTGGTTTTGAACTCCTGGGCTCAAGTTATTCTCCTGCTTCTGCTTCCCAAAGTTTTAGGTTTACAGACAAGAACTACCACACCCACCCAGACTTATTTTCTTCTTTATCCCCAACCACTGCAGTTAGATTTGGGTTTGGGTGGGGGCAGGTGGGAGATGGGGAAAGCCCACCTCCAAGCAGGGCAGAAGACATCTAGCCAGCCCCATCTTCCCAAATCTACAGTTAGAGTGCTTCCCAGAGAGCCCGCTCTGTTGAAGGGGCCAGTGAGGCGGAGTCTCTCTCCACGGACACACGGCCTCTCAAAGCCAATCATTTCCTCTTTCCTCTTCAGTCCTTGTAATTGCCACTAACCTGTGCATATACGGGAAACCCACAGGGTTTACCTCATCCCCTGTTGCTGGGCATACAGGCTGGTACAGCCCACTGCAGTGGCCGCCACAGTGCCGGTCTCTGCCAGGCTCTCTACAGAGGTGCTGGGAAGTAGAATTGCTGATCTGAGGGGCAGGGGCTAAGTCACCCTCCAAAAAGCCCGTGCCCACTGCCAGCATAGGGCACTTGCACTAACACTTTGCTAAAACCTCTCTCTTCAATGGGAATTTCTCTCAGTACTTGTGCTTATCTTTTCTTATTGAGTGATCATTTTTATTTCCTCTTTTTTCTTTCCCCCTCACCTTTTTGAATTCTACTTCCTTTTTCTATGAAGAATCTGTTTATATCCTTTCCCCATTTTTCCACTATGTTTTTCATCTTTTCCTTATTGATTTATAGATCTTTATACAGATGCTCTTCAATCTGCTATGGAGTTCCAACCCAATAAACCCTTTACAAGTTATAAACGCTGTAAAATGAAAATGTATTTAATATGCCTGGCCTACTGAATATCATAGCTTAGCCCGGCCTGCTTTAAACATGCCCACAACACTGACGTTACCCTACAGTTGGTCAAAGTCACCTAACACAGCTGGGCACGATGGCCCACACCAGTAATCGCAGCACTTTGGGAGGCTGAGGCAGGCAGATCACTTGAGGTTAGTAGTTCAAGACCAGCCTGGCCAACATCATGAAACCCCATCTCTACTAAAAAGGCAAAAATTAGCCAGGCGTGGTGGCACACACCTGTAGTCACAGCTACTTGGGAGGCTGAGTCAGGAATATCACACGAACCTGGGAGGAGGAGGTTGCAATGAGCTGAGATCACACCACTGCACTCCAGCCTGGGCAACACAGCAAGACTCTATCTCAAAAACAAAAACAAAACAAAACAAAACAAAAAACAAAGTCACCTAACACAAAGCCTGTTTTATAATAAGGTGTTGAATATCTCATGTAATTATCCAATATTGTACTCAAAGTGAAAACCAGAATGGTTGTATGGATACTTGAAGTATTATTTCTACTGAATGTATATGACTTTTGCACCATTGTAAAGTAAAAAAAAATCCTAAATTGGCCGGGAGAGGTGGCTCACACCTCTAATCCCAGCATTTCAGCAGGCCGAGGTGGGAGGATCATGAGGTCGAGAGATTGAGACCATCCTGGCCAACATGGTGAAACCCCATCTCTACTAAACGATACAAAATTTAACTGGGCGTGGTGGCACGCCTATAGTCCCAGCTACTCGGGAGGCTGATGCAGGAGAATTGCTTGAACCCAGGAAGTGGAGGTTGCAGTGAGCCAAGATCACGCCACTGCACTCCAGTGTGGTGCCTAGCGGCAGAGCGAGACTCTGTCTCAAAAAAAAAAAAAAAAATCCTAAATTGAGTCATGCAAGTCAGGGACCATCTGTATATTCTGTATTTAAATCCTTTGTTGTATTTTCTCGCTTCCCTTTGCCCCCTCTGGAGAAGTTGACTCTAGAGGGAGTGCAGGGGACAGGGCCAGGACCGGCCTTTCTGCCTGGCTGCAGCTCTTAGAGGTTATGTTGGAGAATGTCTAACACTGGCTAGGTGGAGAGACCATGGCCAGGCGACTTTTCTGAAAGCCTCTGTTCTGTCACCTGTAAAGTGGGCAGAATACTGCCTACCACTCAGAGTTGTGGTGAGGATTACAGGAACCCACCCATGGACAGGTCATCTGATAAGTGCTGCACACAGCTGAGGTGGACTGGAAGCGGCTGCTGGGCAGGAAGCATACCGTGTTGAGTAGGTGCCTGCTAAACAGTGGTCTCTGTGCCTGTGTCCACGGCCACCTGTGGATATCTGTAAGTCCATGCCTGTTGCTGTGGATCTGCCCAGTGAGTGTGTGTGGGTCCCTTGTGGGGGTCTATCCTGCAGAACCAGTAATCAGAAGTTTAGTGTGGGTGCGGGGCAGTCTGAGGTAGGGCTGATGCTTGGCGGAGGGGAGAAGTGGATGGGCTGAGCTTAGGGAGAAGACACTGCAGGGCTGGCTCACATTGGGTGCAGTTGCAAAGGTCCACTAAGGTCAAGCTCTATCTCCTCTCGCCTCGGATCCCCACAGCAAAGTGTTGGGCTGAGTTTCTCCAGCCAGATTGGCTACAGCTGACTCTCTTGTCCCACTGCTTCCAGGCAGTCCTGGGGTCTCAGAAAAGCCCTTTGTGGGTGACATGTGGTCCCGCCCACTTGAGGGCATGACTTGGCCTTGGCTGTGATCTGCTGAAACTAATAGGAGGTGTATTTATGAGTTGCCGTAAAAGGCACTGACATACTGGTGATAAAAGCCTCCAAAATCATCCTGCTGTAAACTGCCATTTACATGTTTATGACCTGATTCCCCAGCCAGTGGGTTAGATATCCCCATTGTCACTGACTAGGAGGCTCTATTCTCAGCCAGGGACTTGCAGGGTGGGTTGAACAAAGGGAGCCTAATGTGCAGGCCCAGGGCCACTGACGGCTTGTCCTTGCAGCTGCCCCCTCCCAAGAGACTCCTATCGGAGCGTATGCTAGAGGCTTATTTTCTTACTGAGGAGTAACTTACATTTGGTGCACTATACTAACCATGAATGTAAAACACAGCTGAATGACTTTTACATAGATGACACCCATGTAGCCATGACCCTGAGCAAGCTTCCTCACTCTAGGAAATTTCCCTTGTGCCCCTTCCCAGCCAAGCCCAGAAGTAAGCACTGTTCTGACCTCCATCATCAGAGATCAGTTTTGCTGTCCTAGAATTTCACCTGAATGTCATCATACATGTGTTTTCTTCTGTGTGTAGCCTCCTTTCATCAGTATAATGTTTTTTATTTTTACATTTTTTTTTTTGAGACAGAGGCTTGCTCTGTTCCCCTTCCATAGTGCAGTGGTGCCATCATGGCTCACTGCAGCCTCCAACTCCCGGGCTCAAGTGATCCTCCCACCTCAGCCTCCTGGGTTGTAGCTGGGACTATAGGATGCTCCACCATGCCCAGCTAATACTTTCTATACTTTTTTTAATTTAAGAGACAGGGTTTCTCCATGTTGGCCAGGCTGGTCTCAAACTCCCAACCGCGGGTGATCTGCCCACCTTGGCCTCCCAAAGTGCTGGGATTACAGGTATGAGCCACCGTGCCCAGCCAATATGGTGTTTTCCAGATTCCTCCACGCTGCTCTGTGTAACAGTTGTTCACTCTTTTTATTATTGAGTAGTTGTATCCATTGTATGGATGGACAGGCCACACTGGTTTATTTATTCTCCTATTGATGGATATTTGGATTGTTTCCAGTTTGGGGCTACTGTGAATAAAGCTGCTATGAATAGTTCTGTGCACATCTGTGTGTGAACATGTTTTTATTTCTCTTGGGTAAATCTTCAAAGTGGAGTAGCTGCCTCAGAAGGTAAGGGTGTGTGATGTCATAAGAAACTGCCAATGGTTGGACTAGGCGCGGTGGC